TCTCCAGGTCCTCCCCACAGTCCTGGATCGCCTGAGACGGCACGGCTGGTCTGTCGCATCCGGTCCTTCTTGCTGAAGTCCACAACTCCCCAAACACTCGATAACAATGATGACATGACATACCTACATTGACCCCTTTTCAACCCACGCCCGGCCAAAATCCAGCGCCACTGGGCCAATGGCTTCACCCAATTCTTCGGTCTCTCTACGCGGTCTCGGGACCCTTCCACCGGATGCCCCAGGGCGGGTCGGCTCGCGCACACCTGGCGCACGTCCAGCAGCTTTCCATCCCAAGGAGTCCGAACCTTCTCCGGCAGCTCCTGACCAACAGAGGTTGAAAGACCTTATAGGACCCTACTGGGTACCTATATGGGATAGTCTGGGTCATTCAACCTCTCTTGGGACCACCGAGCTGGACCGTCGAATCGGGCGTGGAATGGGCGAGGCGGGTGCTGAACGAGGGGTGTTCTCCGGATCCGATCTGAATCAGGGTATCGACGAGAAACCCGCGGAGTGAGGGCATGGAGATGGGGTGGGGTGGAAGACTGGGAAGACTGGGTGTGTAGGGAAGACCGGTGGTCTGGTGTTTGAGACGGAATCTGCCTGGATCCGAACACGGCGTGACACAGAAGGAGAGTTGATCGATACCGACATCTTCCGATATGGATCGCCATATGGGACATGCAGCCCAACATCCCTCCGCGCAAGAGATTTCACGGTGTCCCTGGGCCTGAAGGCTGTCTGAACCCGGGACAAAGGCGATCACACACTTCGACAATTGTATTCAGTTACACTCAGTTCCCAGGTCGAAAATGGTGAAAGAACGGCATGGCGAAAAGTCCAGGGAAGTGTAGGTGTTTAACAAAATGGTTTTGGCACTTGACTGCTGAAAGCGCACAGCGGCAAAGCGGCTGCAGGTCTGCGGTGGGGAGTGGTTTGGGGGAAGGTATCATGAAGAACCATGGAAAACAAACCAAGCAGATTAGACAGCGTGGTCAAAAGTTCAGGTTGCAGGTACGTCGAAAGAGCGTCCTCTTTCGATATCCTAGTCTGAACCTGGAGCTTCGTTGGCTCACGCCAGGAACAGACCCGTGAGCCCCCTGCGCATGTAAAGTGGAAAGAGTGGTGGTGAAAGACCCTTTGTCCAGGGTTGGACACACACAACTCGCCGGCTTCGGCGCTTTTTCAAGACACCCCTACCGTTGAACCAGTGGACGAAAACCTTTTGCCCAGGGGTGGACACACACACAAAGCCGTTTTCGGCGCGGTCAAAGTAGTAGTGAGGCCAGGGGCCTCCAGTAGCGTCCTAACTCCCAGGGGAACATTTGTACAAAAAGCGCCAAATTGTTGGCGCAACGAAAAACTAGTAGACACCTAAAAAGCCTTAGAAAGACAGAAAAAGCAACGAAACAAGAGCAGACTAAGAGGGCAAGAAAGAAAAATAGGGTAGTTACGAGGCCCACTTAGTTAAACGAAAGTAGAAGGCGAGCGGGACATTCGTCTTAAACCGCCCGGGTAGCTAGCAATAGCTAGGAGAAACAGAAGGAAAGGCACCAACACACAAGTGTGTTGAGTGCGATTTCCTTCTGTTTCCCGAGTAGCGGGTGGGATAGCAACGGAGGCCTGGGGGTAGGGAGGGGGGGGGGGGGTTGTGCATGATGAATTCATCCGGCCTGTGAATACTTAGCAGCGCAGGCATGTGAATACTTAGCCGATCCGAAATCTGAAACCTGATGTCATTGGAAGACATGAAAAGAAATCTGAGATCTGAAAGTTGGAATCTGAAGTATTCTTCAAGAACCGTTTTTTGGCCCGGCGGCCGGTGTGGCAGTTGATTCTGTGAGGGTGTCGGTGCCTTCCTGTGAGAGTCCAGTGAGCGGTGGTGCGTTGGGGTGGTTGCTTTCCCATGCAAGATCGGCGCCCCAGTGACGGGGATCACACTCAGCACCCGAGTGGGACGGCTGAGCGAAACACACTTCGACAATTGTATTCAGTTACACTCAGTTCCCAGGTCGAAAATGGTGAAAGAACGGCATGGCGAAAAGTCCAGGGAAGTGTAGGTGTTTAACAAAATGGTTTTGGCACTTGACTGCTGAAAGCGCACAGCGGCAAAGCGGCTGCAGGTCTGCGGTGGGGAGTGGTTTGGGGGAAGGTATCATGAAGAACCATGGAAAACAAACCAAGCAGATTAGACAGCGTGGTCAAAAGTTCAGGTTGCAGGTACGTCGAAAGAGCGTCCTCTTTCGATATCCTAGTCTGAACCTGGAGCTTCGTTGGCTCACGCCAGGAACAGACCCGTGAGCCCCCTGCGCATGTAAAGTGGAAAGAGTGGTGGTGAAAGACCCTTTGTCCAGGGTTGGACACACACACACACACAAGAGACGTCACAACACATCACAAGGTGCCAGGACCATCCTGTCTGGGTGTCCTGCTTGAAGATCCCTAAGTAGCGTAGAGTAGTCCAGCCAGGACACCCAAACAGGATGGTCCAGGTCTATTTCCACTGCTCCTCCAGGTGTTGGAGAGCGGCTCGAAAAAGCACCCGACTGTCAAAGGAACCGTCCAGGTGCACGTGCAACTCCACCTGGATGGTCGGCTGTGGCCTGGCGCCACCCTCCAGGTGAAATCTGGGGTATGTCCATTGGATCCGGGAAACCTGCTTGCCAGACCCTTGGTGACTCACAGCTACAGAACCCACCAACCTGGTCGGTCTGGGGCTGGGCGTTTTTGAGCTGAGCGGTCTGAGTCCAGCGGTGTTTTTCACCCAAGGATGCCCCAATCTTTGTGGAGAAGTGACACGATGACACAAAAGTGTTGCAGGTAGTACTTACCTCCAATTACAACAAAATCAACAAGAGAAATCAGTCTACCCTTGTATCCAACTCATCACTCTGATACATGGGCATATCAAATACCATTAGACCAAACACGACCAAACCGATCAGATTCCGGTCTCTCGAATCTGTTTTGGTGACCAACACATCACCACACTGGCAGTCCCCTTGCTTGCGGTCCTTCGAAAGCTGGCAAAACACCTTCAGTTTCTTCACTGGGCCCGACGCGGTGCAGCTGGTGCTTCAACCCGGCGCCAAACGACCACCATGAGCCGAGTTCCGAGTTGCCTTGGGCGCCTTCTTCAGCTCCTCGCGAGCTGAACTCGACCGACTCTTGGAGGACCACCCCCAAGGCCCACACGGGTGGGGGTGGAGTGGGGTCCACGATCTTCAGTGCGGAGTCTTGGTGGTAAGTCGACCAAAGGTGATCACGGTGGTCTCTAATCCGAGAGATCCAGCCAGTCCCAAAACCCTTTCGAAAGCACGTCGACGTGGGTGGAACTGAGAGGGTCATGTTCACATGCGGAGCATTGCGGAGCCCTGTCCCTCCCACGTTGGCTCCTTACCACACCACTTGGGATCCAATTAAAGAACCCATTTGCCATGATCAATCGCCGACTCCCCTCCGGTATAAGTGTTACTGACGCGTTCTTCATGAGGTCAGTTGTGTGGGCACCCATCAAATGAGTCAACCAACAACTGGCTCAGATAGCCCAAACAATCATTCCCAAACCAGCCATGTATGGAATAGTCACATACATTCCATTCCACATATAGGCAGGACCTTCCAACAGGTGGTTTTTGGACACCTCTTATATAAGCTCTAAGAGGCTATTTATAGACACCTCTTGGAAGGTCCTGGTAGTTAGACTAGACTAGTAATTCCAGTCCCATGAATGGTCTGGGGTTGGAAACCGCAAAATGCACCTCAAACCACTCTTCCCTCCCAGCTAGCTATGAGTATAGCCCCGCTCTCACGACCCAACGCCTTTACTGTTGAGTTGAATGATTTTTCCATGTTTTTCCCGAGCCCAAGGTCTCGGGCTCCCACATACGTCCAGCATTTGCATGGCATGACCGGAAGCCGACCAAAACGACGGTCCGGCCGCCATGGTCGCACCGGTCGCGGCCCTCACCGACCGTCGGTCTGAAGATGATCGTGGGTTCTCCGAAGTGACGAACATGTTCCACACTTTGGGTGAGTTCTCATAGGACTGTGTACAAATAGGGAAGGCCCAAACCCTTCAGTTTGGATCCAAATTTACGTGCCTTCTTTCCAGGCGGTGTGTTGTTTCGGGAGGTCTCGGTGCTTGAAGACACACCTATTGGCAAAGCCCGACCACCGTCCCTGCCCTGAAGGCCAAGCCGCTGCTCTCTCCATGGCTTCCAAGTGAAGTTCCACGAGCCGAGCAAGCTGAGGGTCACAAAACACCTCTCACACCGATAATAAAAAACCATCCAACAAGCCTCTATACTGACGCCAATGTAGCATTTGTCATAGCTCATCCCACCAACCCTGGTCAAATATCCACATCGCCCAACGGAACTCAGGTGCTTGGCAAGTGAAACTCATGCCAAACAGTGCCTAAAAGGTGATCCGCTTCACCTTGCAGCGCCTGGATCTCTTCGCACAGTGGGGGCCCTTGTCCCAAATAATTCTATCCCCTTGATTGTTCGCAGGGTCGTCGATTTTCCATTGAACAAAAACATGGATAACGGGAAAAGGATCTTCACCTTATAATTTATAAGGGTACAGTCTTGGGGTATCTCATTCTTACTGGTTCTTGTAGCTGGGCTGTGTAAGAAACAAAGACACAACCTGAAACCTCTGAGAAACCTCTCTGGAACCGCTTGACAGTTCCCTAGCTTTCATGGCCAACCAAAAGGCAGGAGGTGGTGAGTACCATCTCGCTATAGCCTGGTGCTTGGAAGGAGGATTGGACGATGCTTCAGGCACTGCACTGGTCTTGTTCGCGTTTCAGGCACTGAACATGTCCAACATCTATTACGGTAACTAGTGTGAATATTATTCACACTAGTTACCGCTGTTTGGTCTTCAACCGAAAATGCACACTGCTATTCAACGGTCTTGATTGGGAAGTGGTGATCAAAGTCATCATGCCTCTTGAATCTTTCCCACGAGTCGTGACACTGCACCGGCTGGGCCTGCACCACCGGTGGTGGGGCGGGCTCCACACCAGCATAGGCCTCCAAAGACAAGGTCGCAACAGGGCACCCTGGTAGGTGAATCCCCATGTCAGGTCAGAAGTCTTCGAACTCTGAAAACCGCACTTGAACTCGCCACCAGTGCTGACCTCAAGAAACCCAGTGGTACCGTACCGATCAATTTCACTCTCCTAAATATATACTAATGCATATTATAAGTATATATTGTTATTACAAGTATCATACACCAACGAGATTGACTATAGTACGCATCTGAATCATGGATTAAACCACAAAAAACAACACCTGCCAAATCGAGCTTCCGACCCCCCCCCCTCCGGACGCCCCATCCCTCCACTCACACGTCCCTTCCCTCACTCCTCACCTGGTTTTCTCCCGTCCGACCACGCCTCAGGGCCCTTCAGCTTCAACTCCTCGATGAATTCATCGAAGAGCCTCAAAACCACCGCGAGAAGATCTGCTTGGCCGGGACCAATCCGGCTCCGGTCGGCGATTTGAAACTCTCCCCAAGGTCTCCACGGAACTGCCATATTGGCCGTCCCATGTGGGGGTGAATGGTCGCCATACATGGGTTTGGGGCATGAAACCACCTTCCCGAAGACTCCTTGGGCCAGAGTCGGACCCGTTGGTTCGGGTTCGGACCTTTTAGGTTTGATACCAAATGACCTGAAGAAGACAGGTCGAAGCAACTTGAAGCTACTCAGCTACCGAAGAGATCCAACGATACAGTTTTGTAATGTTTTGTCCATGTTTTTCGCCGGGACGGTCCACACACAAAGGACTCTTTTGGTCATGTTGTGAACAATGGATGGCATCCCGCGTGATGTTGGAGGATGTCTTCAAAACCAAGTCGACCGAAACTTCCCAGAAATCACCTCTTGGGTCTTGGGTCCAAAGGTTTCACCCAGGAAATTCAGCGTCGAAAGCCGGGCGCATCCTCCACTTTGTCAAGCCAGCTGGAGGATACACACCCTAGAAATGATGAATCATGGAAGTGGAACATGAATGACAATGGTCTAAGATGGTTCCTGGTTCCTGGTATTAAAAAAAAGGGGTGATTTTCCTAATTGGCTTTCCACTGTTGAGTGAGCTTTCTGTTTCACTCCCACCTCGACTCGAGGCGGATAGTTCTACCAGGATCGTGTACCCTCCTGAGCTTCCAGGCTCCATACCGGTGGCTCCTTCGCCCTCCCGCATCCCCTGCAGGCGCTGGTCGAACTGAAGCATCTCCTGGCACCGTTCTGCACGTAGTAGCAGTAGTAGTAGTAGTAGTAGCAGTAGTAGTGCCCCAGTAGTTTGATGGTACATCTTCCTGTGTCCTGAAGCATCTCCTGACGAAACTGGTGGAAAGGTGATGAACAAATGTGAACGGTGGTGTGAATGTCTTAGGTTGATGTGAACTGTCGAAGGACGTGGGCCCTTTCTTTCTTGGCCTCGAAATTCGGCCGCTACATCTAGGAGCTTACAACTTACAACCAATTTCTTACAGTGCCTGCACTGATGAGGCGTAGACCAGTTGGATGGTGTAAACATACCCCCAAGCCACATCCCAAGACCATCACAAAGCACTCAATGGCTGGTCTTCAATTGTGTTGCCTCTTAGAGTGGAAGGGCTTTGTAACAGCGGGCTTGTGAAGGAGGCACCCTTGTTCCCAAGAAGCAGGGGTGCTGGGCTGTCCTTTGACACTCTCTCTCTCTCTCTCTCTCTTGCAGTGGTTTCAAAGGGTTTCAAAGCGCACTTCAAACGGCTTCAGAGCTTACCAACAGAGGTTGAAAGACCTTACAGGATCCTGTAGTGGTACCTATGGGATAGAGGGCTGTTCAACCTCTGCTGGTAATGACCAAAATCCACCCTTTTTTCCATGTCTTCCATGTCCGCGCTGGTCTTCCACCGGGCGGACGTCCTCGAGCTGAGCCCAGCTGGTGTCCACCGTAAAGCGCTCGGCCGCCGCCAGCTCCTGCACATCACGGAGCCCGCGCAATCCGCCGAACCCGGAGAAACCCCGTGGTCTATGCGTCAGGGTGGTCTATGATGTCTATGCCCAAACGGTCAGGTCTGTCTGGCACTGAACCTGATCTGTCTGGGACTGGCTGACATACAAAGGGGTCAATGTAGGCATATAGCTTCCATGACATGAAGTCAGTGTCACAGTCTTGGGGGGCTGTTGGAGGGTTCGAATATAGTCTTATAAAGGGAAAGGACTTACTATCCTGGTTCGAAAATCAAGCGAGCGAACTTGATATCCTGGTCTGGGGTCACGAAAAGGCCTGTAAAAAGATGTAAAAGGTCCCTTGACTGGGATCTGGCTTGGTGAAAAAAAGAGCTACCTCGCGCACCCAAGTTTTCAGGACGCGAGGGAACAAAATGGAACAAAGAACCAACCAAATCTCGCCAAACGCTTCACCTTCCGGTCAGACCCACCGTACTCACACACGTCTCCGCTTTCGTCCGCGTCCGCGTCCCCACCCCGCACCGGTCGGATGGGCCGTCCTTCATGGCCAAGACAAAGGCATCGCGGCCTCGGAGGGCGAGGAGGGCGCGACCGGTGCGCCCTGGGTACCGACCGTGCGGTCCGGGGTGGAACCTGACCTACCGTTCCAAAAAAGCGGTCAAGTAGGTGAGAATCCGAAGATGTTGATCATAGTCTTGCTCCGGCAAGCTTTCAATTTGAAGGCAAAAAACAGCAAAGCCTTCAACACATGGAAGGTCAAGATACTGGTCAAGACCCAAAAATCATGGTCAGTCGGCTGAGGAGTCTTCAAATACGTCCCAAGGCGAAGACTTTGGGGTGAGCCGGCATGATGGTCCACCCCAACAAGTCAGTCAAGCAGCCCTCTTGATCTCAGTTCTAAAGAGTTTTGTCTCTGCAAGATGTGGTCGATTCAGGACCCCCAAACAGCTGGTTGATGGATTCGTTCCACTTCACTCGAATGACTCATCCCAAGCATTAGGACCAAACAGCTGGTGACTCATCCAAAGTTTCCCAAGGCTCCAGGTTGACACCACCACCAACTGTGCTTCTATTTTCTTTAATGACATGTCTGAACCAATTCTCATCCAATACACCTCACTCAAGGCTGCCAAGGGGCGCTTGCGCTCGTCGTGATAGTACCTAGTGGGCAGAGCGCGCAAGCGGACGACGAAGCGGACGACAAATACTCCAACCCAAGCACTCCATGGACTGGCATTTATACCTGGATAATGTCTGCCAGTTAAAACACAAAAACAGCCAAAAGGCATAACTTTGGCAGAGTTGGAAGAAGTAGGTATAGTTGCCATGGTTGCTGCTGCGCGCAGAAGGTGTTTTTGTTTGGGATTGTGTGGAGTCATCAGTGTTTTGGCCACCTTAATCTGTTATTTTTTGGGGGGGGGAGCGATAAACTTCGTTCTCGGCGTGGCTTTTGTTCCGTGCCAGCTGTGGACTTTGTTTTTGCTTTTTCCTTTTCGATGCACTTCCTTCGGCTATGGCAGCTGTGTCCTTGGCTGGCACTGACACGTCCGTGTCCGGTACTTCGACCGGTCCGAGGACACCTTGAGGCGAGGTCAAACGCACCAACATTGGGGTGGTTGGACAGGGTGTCAATGTAGGCATATATTCCATAGATCTCTGAGCAACTGCCTCCAAATTCTTGGACTCCATGAAGCAGCCATGCTACTTGTGGGTCTACAAGCCAATGGTCACAGGCGCAGGCTCGCTCAGCTGGATTCCCAAGCTCATCAAAACTCCATGAAACACGAAGATCTGATCATATCCGAGCTTCGTGAGAACCTAAATTCGGGAAAACAAGTTCAACGACAAAGCCTACGCGTTTTTTTAGCCTATGGGGAAGGCGGCTGGGTGTCGGATGTGCTGATCCAAGCCAAGCAAGCCAGTACGCCCATCCTGCGCAACTCTGCTAATCGGAACGAAATCCGGAGGGACCTTGGTAAGAAACCAAACATGCTCAGGCTTCAGAAAAACGGTGGGCTCCCCCGTAGTACGGCATACCAAATCACGAATTCGATGCCAACAGAAGTCCTCAAACCCCAAGCTTCCTAGTTCCCTCCAGTCCGGACCAGCTATGATCAAACAAAAACACACTATGCCCTGAACCCGAAAGTCGGCCACCTTTGGCAAGTGGCTGGCTCTGGACTTTGCTCTTGAGGTCTGGATCCTTGACGGTGGCGAGCCTGACCGTGGTCCGGTTCCGGTCCGAACTGTGGGACATACCGGCAGGTCCCTGGGTTCGGGCCAACACGGTCAAGTGACGTCACCCGACGTCTTCGGAAGTGGTCGTATCGTAGGTGGGGTTTCATGGAGTCCTGGAGTCTCAAAAGTACACCAGAAAAAAAGGGTACTTTTGAACCAGCTTTTGTATATCTGACAATAATAGGTTCATGCCCAGTCCATGTCCCACTTTCTAGGGTGCTTGGAGTCGGCTGCATGTCCATCTGGCCAATTTAGATCCTTTTATATATTCTGGACCAACCACCTGGAGTGACAGGGTTGTGCAGTCACCGGAAGCCAACAAAACGAACACACCCACGCACACACTGATTAAAATGGATTGCCCACAATCTTTGCTGCCCTGGATGCCACCGACCCGATGATGCAACATGCAAGGCTGGAGGACGCCTGCCGACCGTCGCTGGGTTCATCAGTGCCAGTGTCAAACGATCACCTCAAAACACTGAGCAATGTGCCACCTACTCCCTGACCCTTTGCAAAATATAAATTGCTTGGAAGAATGATTGTTCAAGAGGGATAAAGTCGACTGGAGTACAGTATCAACTACATGTAAACATATAGAGCAAGCAACAACGCCCCTTGGTCGACGTTATATCGGGGTGTCCATTAACCATCCGTTGTGGGTCCTGGTATGGCCCACATTTTAAAACATGATCATTAGTCATTAGTATATAACAATATCACCAGAAATATCACAAGAAACAACATAAGTAAGACAATAATTAAGTCTCCCCATTTATACTAATACGTATCACCATAAGTCTCCCCCCAAAGAGTCTCACAATACCACCGCTGGAGACATGGTGGTGCAGGACCACATGCCTTCACCGCCAGCAGGAGAAGTCCTCGTCTGATCGCAAAGTAAGACTAAGTCACACTTAAGATTAAATATACCTTTCTTCAAAAAAAACAAAGTCAACGACCCTTGTACAAAAATACACATTCTTTGTTGAAAAAAACACCTGCGACCGGGACCAAGGCCTGATTTACAAGCTATGGATCGTCTCCCAAGGACTCTGAGGAAGGCGACATGAAGACACCAGTCAGTACTATCCAACTTCTTCATGCTCTCAACTCCTTCTTCCTCCACACCCAGTCGAGGCCGCTCGAATGCGGCCACGCTTCGCATCCTGTGCCCGGCCGCCGCCACGCGGTCACGCGCGGTCGCGGCACCTCAATTCGCGCATCGAACTCCAAACCTTCAACGCTTCGATGGGGGGATCCTCCTCCTGCAACTCGTCCCGGCGCGCCAGGACGGCACAGGCGTCCTGGCCGGTTTGGGAGAAGTGAAGGGTGCCGAGCCGAGCCAAGGAAGAGATGAGAAGGTTGAGAAGCTTCGTCTCGCACCGTTCTTGCAATGTAGCCCAAAGGACATGTGACGTTGTGACGTATGGCAAAGTTGTACCTTACTTCCGTGACCGTTTAATGATATTGTTTATGCATGGGTACCTGTGTGAGTCTGTAAACAGTATGTTGCAGGTTTACGAACCTCTCAATAGATAAAAAAAAACATCAAGAGCTTTAAACATGTTCAAGACGGGGTTTGTAGGAATCCCTTTGCAAGGATTCTGTAGGAACAAACTCCTACCACAAACATCTCCCCACATCAATACGGCGCCCCCTTGATCTAAGGTCAAGTTCGCAGTCGATTTGGTACCCGCGTACCCGTCGCGAAAACGTGGCCTGAGACGCGTGGACCGGTCAATGACCCTTCACCGAAAGAACCGAACATGCTATATGCATCATATACATCGAAGTCGTTTGCCTTGAAAAAGCCAGCAACAACGACAACTAACATCCATCCATCCGTATGTCAAGAACGGTCACAACGGTGTCTCCAGGTCACAACGGCTCAGCTTCCAGTCCCCAAAGCGTCCTTCCAACGTGTACGTGGGCGTTTCAGCTCAGGATCGGTCGCCATCAAGCGTTGAAGCTGTACCACGCGCTCCTTGCAAATGGGAAATCGCTGGGTCTGGGTGTGGCCGTGCGGTGACACGTATAGTAGACACCCCGGTTTTTTCTTCCTTTCATGTCACCTTTGAACTCTATTTAGTATATAAGGCTCATGTAGTCTGAGCTGGGCGTCCTCCAAGTAGCAAGTGGGTGTCCAAATGTTCTACCCGCCCGTTAAACTCCAAAGCACAAGCTTCACAGACTTATATACAGCTGCAATTTGACACCCGTCACCTGGCATCACATTCAAAACACTCCAAACATCTCCAAATCATACCCATGGCACCAATTTCACTTGCCAGGCTCCGTGCGCACATGCACCCAAGCCAGCAGGTCAAATGTTGAATCTTCGCTTAAGCAACTTAAGACTTAAGGTACTATTCCAAATCACATACCCACTTACTATCTGGAAAACATCCGGCTCAAGCTAGATGAGCCTACTATTTGGACAACCTGATGTAGACTGGAATCGTGACTGGATTGGGTTTCTGCGTGCGCAACGCATGAACCCGGCATCGTGGACGCCCCACGCGGCCCGCCGTGGCTTTTTGCTGCAGAAGCCCGTTGTTCCGCGATCGGCCAAACAGGGCGACCTGAAGCATCCCTCTCGTTTCGCCACATGTTCACATAGACTGATTTCACCCTCCAAAATATCTCAGAAGCTCTTCATACCTAGGAGGGTTTATGAATCAGCCTAAGAGTCTACAGTTTGATAATAGACTCAATAGACATTACCAACGGTGGTCACCACTTGGGAAGCTGCTGAGTTGAGATCTCCGGAAAGGCACGCTTCGATCTGAGGATTGGTCCTGGTGGACGGAGGGATGAGGCTGGCGAGTCGCAAGGCATCAGTTTTCGAATTCTGAGAAGTGAAGCAAAGAAAACAAATTGAAAGAACCTGGTGCATTTTTTGGGGAGAGAGAGGGTCAAGTCGACTTGTCTGACGACTACGTACACTGATGCACTGGTCGATTGCAAGAACCAACATGAACCAACACGGCCAAAGAAGGATGAACGCTTAACGAGTCTTTGCAAAGACCTGGATTTTATAGGACACTTTTCGGCATAAACATCATCGACCCTCCCTCACATCAGAGTTGGGCATTGGAATCGTTGGAACTGCTGGCTTATGCTGGCTTCGTGTGGTTCCACTTCCAATGTGTCCACTTCTCAGTGTGTAAAAAGAGGCAGCGCAAAGGGCTTGGCCTCGGGCTATACTTCAAAATGCTGATTGAAGCGTGTGTTTCAACCTCTGGCCGGGGTCCCCCCAGGCCAGAGAGAACATGTCCACACCGAAGTGGCCGGGGTCCCCCCAGGCCAAAGAACATGTCCACACCGAAGTGCAAGCTGGAAGCTGGAAAGCTGCTGTACGGTCTACACGTTCAGTCTTGGGAAAGTTCAAAAAGATCGAGTCTCTTGCGACTCCAAGGCTTATCCCAATGTCTCGTCCCAGGATTCGTGGAAATGACGGACATTCTGGCTGGAAATCAACCTCACAAAGGATCGACATCAAAATCCAGCCAGAATGGAGATCCAATGGTCCGCCATCACACTTGAAGCCTCTCTCTTCATGGGTCAATTCCAATCATGCATTTCCACAAGTTCCTCACTGGACGGACCAAAAGGCTGCCGTAGTCCACACTCTGAACAAGCACGGACGGCACTAGGCTCTTCGGCGGCACAGCTCTGCGCAACTTCGATTTTGCTGGTCAGGAAAGACAGCAAGTCCTCAGTCCTGTGCAAAACTACCGTTCCGAACGCGTGCTTCACGTGTTTGACCCTTATTCATGACCATGTTGACATTGCCTTCGTTTCCCAGCTTCGGACCCTCACATTGGGGTCCGAACAGCACTTAGAAGTTGCAGGCCTGTTTGCCTCCGGACAATTAGAAAGATTGGATATAAAATGGAAGCTTCCGCCCCTACCTCTCCATCCCCTCAATAAGGGGCTGACAAAGGAGACCTAAACGTAGGGCCGTTTCCACAAAGTCGGTCGGGTGACGTCCGCCGGAGTGCTCGGAATGTGGGAGGAGAACGAAGGCTCAGAGCGCCTTCTCCCTGAAGCCAAAGGGTTCCGAACTGTTCTTTGATGCTCTTTTTCACTTGCTTCCTTCAGCTTCCCTGCCCTCCAACGAGGAGGAAAGAACCAGATATCAGCCAAACACCTGTTCACAGTCTCCAACACCACGTTGAAGCGACAGCGCTGTGGCGATTCCCGTGCGAAACTGGAAGGTGCAAACAACGATATGTAGTTATACATATACTATATAGTATATATACCCCGGAAACGACTTCGATGTACGCAACAAATGGATGGGTATGAAGCATACTATGTTACATTGCCCATCGTTGCCCACTGAAGTGCTGTAAAGGAAGTTCCTCTTCGGGTCATCTAAAGACCCTTTCTTTTAAACATAGTCCTGGACTCCCAGGGTGTATAAATATTATACATACAGTGGATCCAGAGTAGATGGCAAAACCTACAGATGTCTTTTAGATGGGGGTCCGTAAAAAGCACCGAACTTGGGGATTGCGCCATCAAACCTTTGAAAAGACTGTAATGAATAATGAATGTCAAAAACTCTTCAAAACTGAAGCTTCTCAGGCACCAGCTGACTAATTATCCTTTCTGTGACCACTCCGGTTATTCCCCTACCTGAGTCGCGCTGTGTCTTAGAGGACGCAGCGAAGCTCAACGCACATCCGGGACGATCCAGCGTTCGATTTCGTTTTTCATGTTGCACTGCTTCACATGGGACGCCCGGATTCCGCAGATTGGGCGGGAAGCGGGGGAACATGTACTCAACGCATCAAGAAAATGGTTGATTCCCTTCGAGGTTTAGCAATAATTTGTGCCTAAATGAATTTAACCTATCTCGGGGCATGCCCAAGTGAATCATGTGCGAACCAATCGACACCGACCTACTTTTGGCCGGTGATTTCCGAAGTACGTCCCAGGTGCGAAACTTGATTCGAAGCGTCCACGTCGGACACTCCCCTCAAGTAAATATGGCCGGTGGATGCCAGTGGACTTGGTGGATGTAGCTTCTGGAGGCAAAGCACATGCTCACCCCAAAAAATCGCTTGAATGCCAATGGCGGCACCTCTTGCGCATCCCAAACACATCCTCAGGAAGCATCCGGATACCTAAAATGGGTGTGTCACAGTGTCACCTGTAAATTAATGCCAATTGTACCTGGGTAGCTGGACTTCAGTGCATTGTGCACTCTTCATACATTGCCAAGAACTGGCCTTCAAAGGGTAGACATTGGGTAGACCGTGGGCTGCCAGCACGTATTAAGCAGCATATGGAACCATAGAATGTGTTTTTCACAATCCTAGTTTCTTCCTTCATTTCTGACTGGTGCTGAGATTTGTCTCAAAGCCATTCAACTGCTGGGGCTGCGGAATATACCACGAACATGGAAATGACCAACGTTCCCTGCAAAGGAATGCTCCTCTCACTGCTCCAAATCGCAGCCCACGGTGAGTGTGATTGGCCGATTGGAGCTTTCGGCCATTGTCAATCTGCTGGACGGTTTAGCGAGGTTTAGGAAGGCTGACCGTTGACGATGGTAGACATCGACATGAACCATCATCAACATATCATATGCCACGGTGCCATCGAAAGACAGGAACGACACTGCGGATCCATCCACACAACCATAGACAGGTGGGACACCCTCCTGTCTATATAAAGGAAAAAACCTTCAAAGAACTACATCTTCCAGTGAGTGTGGGAGAATATAAGTTCAATCATGTTTGGATATCAATGCCGATCCTTTCTGCGCAGATGCGCGAGACTTTGAGCTCATTCTCTTTAGGCAGGCGAGTCGTCCTCCAAGTGGCCGCTCGCTTCCTCGCGCAAGTTCTTCAAGCCATTCTCCAAAAGAATGGCCAAGTGGCCTCCCACCTGTGTGAGATCAACACATGTGGAAACGAAAGAGGCACGACCTGATGCTGGCCCCCCAACCTCCTTAAAAGGAACATCGTGATCCAAACACGCAACTCGAACTCGGAGATGTCTGGCAAAAGATCCATGTCTTGAATACTGTATTTGATCTCCCATGCACCAACTGCGCAGTATGTGTTTGTGTGATGTGTTGTGTTGTGTAGTCCTGCGCATGATTGATCAGATTGGCCAAGGCACATGAGAGCGCACCACACCTTGGATAGGCTGCACTTTTAGAAGTCAAAGGCAAAATCCCTCTAGAGCCATGTTGTCTTGCTAGCTGTGGGGATTCACATGAGGGAAATCAAAAGAAAATCCACTCGATCAGCGACCCCACCGATCAAGCCAGCAAAGTTCATGCGGTCGAGCACTTGTTGGATCTTACGAGGAGTGCGCGGCTGAGGCTGCCCCGTGCCTGCGAGGTGGAGATGGTCAGGCCGCCGTCGACCACCAGTGGGCAACGAAAAAATTTAAAAATATTTAAAAATGCTATAGTGGATTGAGAGTAGATGGCACAGACCCCAAAAGGTGGTTTATATGGACCCCCATCTAAAGGACATCATGGGGTCTGCGCCATCTACTCTGAAACCACTGTAAGTAGTGGCCGAGATCAAAGCGAAGTGACTGGGAATGGATGAATCCAAGGAACAGAAGGAACATAAAAGCAGAAAGAAACAAACAAGAACGTCCCAAAACGGAAGCCAGGAACGGGGTTTCTGCCAGCATCCCACCCAGGTACCATAGGGGGGTTGCAGGAAGAAGTGGGTGTGGCCCCTGCATCTTCGGAAAGTGACCCCTGCGTAAGATCATGTCAAGAGTCGATCAGAGACTTGCTATGCATAGACTGCACATCTAAAGCGGCTTCAGCCCGTCTTCAATCTTTGACTTCTGACGGTTTTGTCTGGAGTGATGATTCCGCGCCGCCCCAAATTCACTGATGTTCTGGTCCATGTCCAGTCAATCAGTCGCCTACTTGGATCTACTTGGACTAATTGTCCACCTGAAATTTCCTATTGGGGTAGCTACTTGGATAATCCTCCATTTCCTGGATTGGATACTTTTTCTATTGGATAATGTGGATAGTGCAGCTTTTGTGCTCTAAGGGCCTGCGGTTCGGTATGTGGTGAGGTGTGCTCATGTTTCGCAATTGTTGTTTGGATCAGGCAACTAAGTGTCGTGTTCCTGACCCAATCTTAGAATGGTAGCTCCTCGCAATCCAAAAATTCATATGCTTGTCCACCTCACGATAGATTTCAAACTTCTTCTCATGTTGATCATTTTGGTTTGCGTGCCACCACTCCATATCACACCTCATCATCTGCTGTTTCGCTCGGAGGCATGATCTGGCTGTGGGCTTATCAAAAGTCGCCAGCTTGCGAACTTGAATCCCTGAAATCCAACCTGTTGTAGCTTGGCTACAGGTTGGGTCATCAAGACTGCTCGGCCTTCGAACTCCTTCACTCACTGCTGGTGCTGCCTCTTGTGGTTTCCGGTGCATCGTTCATCTCCACGTCATTCTCGCTCTCCGGTTCACGTACTTCAATGAACCTCAGAGGAATATCGACGACTTCTCCTGAATCCAGCCGCACTTGGACTGTCTCTTCGCCTTCAATCACCTCATCTTCATCTTCATTTTCATTCGGATTCCTCAGCTGGACTTGCTGATCATCCAACTCTTCATCTCTCTCTTCCTTCGCCTTCAGGTACTCGTTGACTTGGGCATCGATCCTGCGAAGATCAAAATACCTATTGCTCTCCTGCAAGTAGTTCCAATGCTTCCAGTCACCCTCTTGGAACTCCGTGGCACCTACATATCCTGAAGCCTTTACCAAGCCTCTGTGGATCTGTTGCGCATAGAGTTTCACATTCTTCACTTCCTTTCCAATCTCCTTCACTTTCTCCTCCACTTCGTACGTCATCGCTCCTTGGGTCATGACGTCCACATGGTTGTCATCCTTCATTTGCTGAATCTTATCTTCCAAAGCCTTGATGCGCCTCCACATCATAGCCAATGCAGCTAGTAGGATGATGATCACCATCATGGTCATGAGGATGAAGAACCATCACCACCACCATAGGTTGTCCTTCTTGGATTCGATCCCAAAGTGTTCCTCTCTTGATCCGGCCTCTTGCTGAAGGCCCTCAAGTGGAATGCGGTTCAGCAACTTTGCCAACTTGCTGATCTTGACTCACACTCATCTCTTGCAATCGACTATGCTCCTCCTGGCCCAGCCTTTCTCCATCGCTGCGTCGAGCATTGCACCAGTAGAGGATCAAACAGAGGCGGCCCAAACTGGTGCGATTCTTGGTGAGCGGTTTCGTGCCGAGGTCTGCAATATTGTAGACTGTTCCCACTGCTCGAACTTGTAGCTCCTCTTGCGCCACCAAGTCCTGAATCCACAGCAGCTTCCCGGAAATATGTCGAAGTCTTCCCGGGCCTTTCCTATGGCATAGGTGGAGCGCTGCCGAGTTGTCAACTAAGCAATGGTGAACAACCTGCTCTTCAACGATGAACTCCAAACACTTCTTCAAGTAGATTCCATCCGCTGCTGCTGAAACTAAAGAGTTCAGCTCAGCCTCTGCAGAACTCAAGGTCACACTCTTCTGTCCTCGTGAGCTGGCAAAGATCACCACCCCGTTGGCCACGTGAATTGCTGCCGATGTGGAACGCCTGTGGCTTTTAGAACCTGACCAGTCGCTGTCAGAACGTCTCTAGGAGCCATCTTCCCTGAGTGGTCCTTGTTGAAAGTCCTTCTCCTGGTTCTCCAATCTCCAACATACTGTACTGGCCCATTGTATTCTTCAGGAATCCCACAGCTTACCCAGCTTCTTCAGGCTCCCAGTCGTAGGACATGACATAGACCCGGCCAGCTCCTTGATGACATATGAAACGTCAAGCCGCTCCTGGGAAAGGTATATGCCACATCCAACCAAAGATCTATAGAGACCTGCGAGATCTGGCCGCAGCTGTGTGGTACCATCGGCTTCCAACATCTCGTGGCTGCACGGCAAAGACTGGACCGTTGCTCGTCCCATCTTCTCCTCATACATCTCTACCATGTTTTCCGCGTATTTGCCAGGATGAACTTTCAACCCAGTTTCTGTCTCTTCATAGGTTCTCCTCAAAAACTGGAACAAACTTCCTGGGCCTGAGAGATGCTGTTCTGAGATCTCGAAGCGCTCTTTGATGCTCGGCAGGAAGTAGTCCATGACATACTCCTTCTCTCCAAGATATAGTACATCATCCACACTTTCCCAAGCAAGGGTTGGTTCTTGAGAATTTGAAACCTTTTTCTCGCACAGCCAGCCAGTGAAATACTCAAACCAAGCCTTTGCACCAATTCGCTGTCCTGGAAGGTTGCGTCTAACCTCGAAGTGTCCGGTGGCCGTAGTAACCTGCGTAGGCTCATCTTGTGGGACTTGGAGGAAGGCATCCTTCACATCCAATGCGCCAAGTTGAACTTGTGGTCCACTGTCTTCTGCCTTCTTCCTTCTCATGAGGTACAGCGTTGGTATCAGCCTCAATGCATGGCTTCCACTTGCTGGGCTATGTACATCATCTCGCCGATCAGTAGCATATTCCCTTGTCACCATCCTTGATCTCCTCAAGAACTGCTTTGGTGCTCCTGGTAGCGTGGATCTCGGCTTTGCTCCCCAATCATGGACGACTCTTGTGGTCAGCTTCATGTGGCCAATCTTCAGGTTCTCCAAGCGAACTAGCACTCCAAGCCTCTGAAGTCTTCTCTCTTCCACTTCATTGGCCAAGTCGTCCACCCACTTTGGTGGATCTGGAGGAACTCTGTCAAGTGGGGCTTCTGACCACAACTCGTCTGGAATGTCTTGAAAGGACTCCTCCTCTTCCAAAGCCCAATCATCCTCCCATTCCAGGAAATCCTCTTCAATCACATTGTCCATGTGGTAGTATAGTTTTCCTTCTACCTCCGTGGCTTCCACTCTTCTCTCCTCATGCAGTACGTCTTCTGGTTTCATCCTCTTGGCTTCTGGAACTTCAGGCTCTAAACTGTGAACATTCTTTTCTACCGACACCTTGCATCTCTTCCCTTCCGGCTCTCCTGCACTTTCTTGCAAAGAACTCTTCTGGGTCATAGGTCTCGGAGTGGTAGGCCTTATTGGTGAAGGACCTGCTTGGTTGCGCTTTTCATCCATCTGATTGGGGTCTTCCACTGGGATCAACTCTTGGACATCCTCTTCAACATAGTTTTTCCTTTTGTCTTCAGCCAACTTCTGATCCTCGACCCGTTCCTTGGCTTCTTCACCTTTAGGTTTCTCCTCCTCGACCATGAGATCCTGTGCCTCTTCAAGCTTCCCAGCTAACGTCTTGGTGAAAGCCAATACCTCCAATGCATCTTCATCATGGTCAGCAATGGCTCATAGGAACTCCCATTGGTCCTGTAACCATAGCGGCTAGCCTTTTTGAAGGTACGATGCGCCCACCAAAGTTCTGCTGAAATTCCCATGAGTAAGCCGTGAAGTTCTGGTAGCACGAGAGGTACTGTTTGTTTGCATTGGACACCCTTCTCAACGACCGGCTCAGGAAAACCCTATTGCCGTCTCCGATTACCCAAGCATCCTGTATCTCTGTCTTCCCCAAACAAATGCCAACTTTCCATCTGGGGTCTGCCTTGAATCCCTGCTTGGGCTTTGAGTATGCAAAACAAACTTCTCCATACTCAGGTTCTCCCTTGACACAACTCATAACTTGTTGTTCCCTGGAAGGGTTGGAATCTGTTCAACAACCAGGCGCCATGCCTGCACGCCCACGTCCACAAGGGATGTTGACTGCTGAAGCGCAAACCTGTTGATTCGGTCAAGCTCTCCATGAGGGTTGCAGCAACATTTCTGATCCTCTGAATCGCATTCTCCACTAGGCTATTCCCTGCTGCATCATAGATTCGTGTAGTCCTCATTGTTGTCTTCAAGCCTATTACCCGACCTTGACTGGACCAGTAATTTGAGTGCTTGTCGAAGTGTTGGCTCGTTGTCGGAGTAGTACTGTACCTCCTCATGTCCCAGAACTTGGGTGAATGCTAGCAGCTCGTGAGTGATCAATGCCAACTGCTCCTTCGACTTCAATGGCAAGGCCAAGAGGCATCCTGTCTGTGAGCATACTGCTACCAGAAGTAGGGCTCCACTTTCATCAGCCACTCCTACTTGGGTTTTATCTTCTTCATCCTCGGCTCCCAATGCTTCAGACCCTGATGCCCTCACATGACATAGGTCGAAGGAGATCGTTGGACATCCTTGTTCACGAGCTCTGCCGGTACTTCGATGCTGATCTTGCCTCGCTCGATGTTTCAAGCAAGCAGGACACCACGGGGCATATGGGATGTGTGTCAACTGATGCTGTCTCTTCTCCTCCTCAGTTAAGCCTCAGTTGGTTCTTTTGCCACCGCT